CACCATCCTGTCATGGGGCTCTGCCTGCCTCCCCTCATTTTCACAGGGCTGAACTCTATCCAGACCTGCATAGGGGAGTTATTTTTAGGCACTGCCAAGCAGGGGACAAGAAGGGCTTGGACTCGGCCACAGGAAAGTGGAGCTCAGTGAGGCAGGAAGAAGCTGCAGGGTGGATGCGAGCAGCACTCCCTGCCTGCAGCCACGGCGGCTCCTTCCTCTATCACCAGCTTCCCAGAAACCACTCCCAGGAGAAGGCAGAGGAGAGGACAGAGGAGGGAGAGGTGGAAGGAGAGGAGTCCTCAAAGCACCCCATGAGACCCCAGCCTGGATGATGCTGCCAACCCTGAGCAACAGCAAACACTCCCATGGCAAATCCTCAACCTCTTTCCTTGCAAAAACGTAGGCAGCACAGGGGTGTCCATGTCCCTCTTCTGCCTGCACGTAAAATAGATGTAATTAGGGACAGACTGGTTGATATTTTTTTCCTGCACCATATAAATTTCTGATCCATTTGGTGTGCATTTCTTCTTATGTGCCCCATATTTTTGGGCAATGCTGCTTGCCTCAGTGGTCTGTCTGCCTACAAAATGAGGTGCTTGTCCTTGCAGCATATCTGAAGTTTCTGCAGGGAGATTTAATGTAGCTTGGGACTTCGTGGCAGATTTGCTTTTGTTTTAGGCAAGGAGATGCTCTGCAAGAGGATGCTGGGGTTTCTTCCAAGACTTTCTGAGCTACCTCCATGACTTAGCAGAGTGATGGTCCCCAGCACTCAGAAGCACATCTCCGACCATACTTGCTGACATACCACTCACCTGCTAGACCAAACTTTGGCTGCAGATCAGGTTTTTCCCTAAAAAAGCTTTCCAGCCTCCAACGTTTATTCTGCTGCAAGTTGGATATTGGGAAAACCAGCTTCTCAGGAAGAATGGTCAAACAGTGGCACAGGCAGGTGGTGGGGTCACCATCCTTGGAGGTGTTCACAAAACATGGAGACATGGCGCTGAGGGACATGGTTAGTGGGCATGGTGGGGATGGGTTGGCGGTTGGACTTGGTGATCATAGAGGTCTTTTCCAGCCTCGGTGATTCTGTAATTCCCTGATTCTATGAAATGGTCTCCAGGCTTGCATCAGCACGTTCCTTGTGGCTGGTGGTCCCGGCTGGGAGAAAAGCAGTGGGGTCAGAAGTTTGCTTTGCTGATGCAGTCCCTACCTCCTGCCCTGCAGGTATTCCCACAGCCTCCCCAGCTTTGATGGACAACTTCCTTCAGGCTGAGTGACACTTGGGGACCCACCAGGGTGTGCGAGGGGTTTTGAGGACGGCTGACCTGCTCTCCACCCTGCAACAGAGACAAGAATGAGCCCTTGCCCTCTTCTTCACCTACCTCCGCCCCATGGCCTGGAGGAGCCGCTGAACCCTGTCCCTTGACCTGTGAAAGAGGAGGAGGATGGCAGAACCCGTGGAGGCTGGCTGCCACCAAGTGTCCCCCAGCGTAGCGGGCCACCCCCAGCATTGTGTGGGGAGGAAGGGGCTACGGGGACGGCCCCATCCCGCCCGCACCGTGAAAGCTGCCTTTGTCACAGGGCTGTCACCCGGGGCGAGGCGTCATGGCCTCTGGTTTCCAGGGCGACGGGAGGAGGAGGAGGAGGAGGATGGGGAGGAAGGTGGGAGATGGCAACGGGGAAAAATATATTTTTAGCCCAATATTTATGGTCTTTGTGGCTCTCTAGTTCCATCTGATTTTCAGGGAGTTCAAAGGCGTTTTCCTGCTTCCTACGAGCACAGGGCTATCGATGGCTGTGTCAGACACTGGCAGCCCAGCTTCCGTGGACAACAGCCATGGAAATGGCTCACTGCTTGGGAGTAACTTCAGAGCAGCTAAAGTGATGAGATGCTGCTTATAGCCCTGTATGTGAGGCAGCATCTCAAAGGGAGTGCAGTGACAAACAGAACAACATGCTGGATATTAGAAAAAAAATCCACAAAAACAACAGAGTTTACCAGGGAGATCTCTCTACATTTGGGATTCTCCTCAGGAGGAAGGATGCTAATCCTGCCCCATGGGCTATTTCTAGCAAAGGTGGCCTAGTTGCTGTAGCTCTTCTTGCTGGTTTAGCTCTGGGGATACTCTTGTTCTTCCTTTGGTATTCAGGAGAGGATGAATATTGTATTTGAACAACATTTCTGTATATCTCAAAGCTCTGCTTGTTCTGTCCTGGATGCTTCTTAAATGAGAAATGGCTTTCCTTGGCTGGGGACCTGTTACCAAGGGATTCCATACTGCAAGATCCAAAAGGGTAATTTCTTACACTGGGAGGAACAGAAGGGGACCTCAGACTAGAATTCTGTCTTTCCATGGTGACCATGGTGTCCATGGAAGGACTGAGCACTTGGGTCTTTTGGGATTAGGAGAGTTGAACTGGGAGCCCCTCTGGCATTGAATGTGTGTTGCTTTTTTTCTCTATAATAGACACGTGTCCCACATCACTGGGAGGACAGAGCAGGGTAACAGTGGGCATTTCAAAGCTTGAGACACCAGGGCTCCTGCGTCCTTATAAAACAGCTTGCACACACCTTTCCCCTCTGCATTAGCTGTCAGCATATGGAGCATGGCAGACTATTTAAGGAAAACGCCCAATAGCATTACTATTACTTACCATAAAAGCCTCGTGTTTCCAATAACAGCCTAATGTTCCAGGCACCTGTCCAACAAATTCAGAGTTTTTCTTACCTGCCCACTGCAGGATTCACGTCCCTCATACCTCCCAGCAAGCATTTAGACTGGCACTGTACAATTGCAAGGCTCAGGAGGAGCTCAAACCCACTGCCACATTTGTCTGTAGTGGGGACAGTGGTCAGGAGGATCTCTCATCCCTACCTGCAGTCATCTGTATGGACTTGTAGTGGGTTTCAAGCAACAAGCAGCATGCAAGACGCAAAGTAAAAATCCCCAAATCTTCTTGCAACCAGTTCAGCCTCTTGCTGGCTGGTGACACCTGCCCAGTTTTACTTCTGTGGCAGCTCCAGCATGGCCCATATATGACCACAACTTCTCATGGTAGATGACAACAGAGGGGCTGATGAGACCCAATGCCACTCTCGCCTAGTGACACAGTCACCCTGTTGCTGGAATGAGGCGGAAATGAACAAATGGATCAAAAACAAAAGGGCTCAGAAATGTTTTTCTTGATCAGATCCCATGAGCCCCATCAGCAGCATCCGCAATGACTTTTACAGAGCAGGCTGGGCGGCGTGATTTTGTTCATGTTCCCAGGGAACAAAACAACATCACGAACATGCGTCTTGCTGAAAACACTCCCTCCGATCTGAAACCATGATTGTTCACTAGCAAAGTTACTCGTGGGCTTGGGAAATAATTCACAAGCAGAGGAGATGGTGTAACAGGATGTGGGCATCTAATCTCTCTGTACCAGGAGACAGTCATAAGCTCTGGCACTTACCCAGCAGTCAGCTACAATTTGTTTGCACACAGGGTTTGCTGGAAAATTGCATCCAGCCGTCCAGTTAATAAAAATCATCTTCACACAGCTCACCGGCAGTGTTTGCTGAATGAGAGATGGCTGCTAAATTATTCACTCTGCACTACTGGAGTCTCAGCGGTGGAAGAGAGGGGAGGAAGATTTTGCTGCTGCTAGTCATGTTATGCTGTCAATTCATTCTCCGGGCTGAGAGTCTGCCATCTGGTACTGAACTCACCAAGAAAGATGGGAGGGGGGGAGGAAGGCAGCATTTTTAAGCACTGATTGCTCATCATATGGCAGCTCTAGAGCACATTTTCTAACATTCATGAGAAGTATGAATCCAGAGGGAAGCGCAGAGCGGAAGGGATAATATGCCATTTAGAGTATTCCACCCACACAGATGGAAAGGAAATATGTGAGGGCACAAAATCCCATTCTGCCTGTCCAGCCTGCCACACCTGGGAGGTCAACAGAGATAGTCAACGTAGCATAACCTCCTAGATGTGTTCCTGGGCTTCACATCAGGCACTTTCCCACTCCTCCTTAGTGGTCTCCTTGGCTGTCGAGCTGCCTTTCAGCCCACTTGAATTTTGATGGATTTTAACCCTGACATCAGGAAAGTAAAAATTTTTTGGATGGTGTTATGGAAGATCCTTATTGCTCGGTACACTACTGATAATGCCAGAGGAAACGTGGAGAGATTGCTCCTCCTCTGGTGCCAGTGTTGGTGGAACTGCACAATGACCAGACTCTGGATGCATCACCTGCGTCTGGAAACACATCCAGCCCTGCTGCATACAGCACCAAGCAGTTTGCTTTATCAGGAACCAACCAGAAGAATGCATTAATGAACTGAGCGGAGTGTGTCCCTGCAGGCAGAGCTGCAGAAGGAGATAGAGCCCCTTGGCAGGGTATGAAAGGAGAGCAAAAGAAAAGGAGGAGGCAACAAAAATCAGAAGGGAAAATGAGCTCACTGACTTGTTCAGCCACAGACTGACATCATGGAGCGCTAGAAATCCGAGGGGCTTCGGTCAAGGATGGAGTGGTAGAGATAAAGGCACCACATGATTCATTAATGTCTTATATGGCCTAGACAGGAAGGAGGAACAAAGATACAGAACTACCATGTGCTTTCCTATGCTGCATCACAGCACTGAAACAAGATATTCTAGGTAAGTCCATTAGCTGAGAGGCTTGTTCCTTTTCATGTCTTTTCCTCCATCCTTTGATCAACTTCTGTATGGCCAGCATTGCACTGGGACATGAAGAAGGAGCTTGAAGAACAGGTTAAGATCCTCAACATGCTGTAGTTTGAACTTAAAGCATCCACAAGACCCTTGGCATGTGTATGCAAATTGCTAAGTCGTGGCCTGAAGCAATGATTGAGCACCTGGTGGAGGGACAGCCAGTCCTGGGAGCACAGGTGAAAGCAATTCACCTGTGTGACTGGAAGGGGCTAACCTACCCTAACCTAACCTCATTTAAGGGCTGGCTACCACAAAGGGTGGATCTCCATTTGGAGCTCCTCCCTTCTGGAGTATTTGGTGAGTGTTGATCCTTGGTATGGGTAAGCAAATCTTTCTTTCTTTAACTGGCTTGTGACCAGTGTCTTTTTGGGGGGATAATTTAGAACTGGTTGTCTGCAATTGCCTTTCCCTATAAAACAGTACAAAAACCTTCCTTAGAGTGTAACCCAGGCAAACAGCCCATGAGCTCTGTTAGTAGTTTTTGTTTGTTTTTAATTTATTTACCCGTCACATAGGCTGCTTTTTCACCACCATTCATGCCTGCTGTCCCCTAATACAAGAAGAATCACTGATGAATAGGGGCAGAACCTGTTTTTGCCTGGTTCTATCCTCAGCACCTCCTTAGTTGTCCTTTCCCATATGCTCTGCCCACTGCCTTCTCCATTTGGCCATGGTGCCTCATAGGAGAGGAAGAAAGCTCTGAGACAAGTCTGAAATTCCAGTCCTCTTTGGCTTCTTGCACCCATCCCATCTCCTGTTCTGGAGCACGGGCTGAAGCTGCTGCTCTTTTCTCATGCTCTCATCTTGCTGGTAAAGAATCATGGAATCATAGGATGGCTTAGGCTGGAAGTAGCCTTAAAGATTATTGAGCTGCGTTGTCCCCACCGTGGGTAAGGTCACCAACCAGAAGAGATGCCTCTTGTGCAAGCAGAGGTGCTGGATGCTTATTTGCTTATTTTCTTCTGCTCTCTCCATAATTTTTTTTTTAAGTTTGTCTTTCTGAGCGGAAGGACATTCAAAATAAAGACAACCTTCCCCCCAAAATAACAGGCTGTATAATCCCAGAGGCACACCTTCCAGGTAAGGCATGAACATGCTCATCCCTTGATCAAGGAAAAGGCATTTTCCCCCTTATTTGCTCTCCACCACCTCAGACTCGTACAGCCTGTTTTTTTTCCCTCTGAAATATGGTGGGATTTTGGTCTGTGCCCTGGGAAGGGGGAGCATTTGATTTTTAATGCTTAGTTATTTATTTTTGACATTGCGCAGGCCATTCCAGCACCCGCTTTATCTCCAGTGATCTCTGACCCCTGCATGTCAGGAGTTCAATCTGGTACGTTCCACTCTTTGCCCCCACTTAATTCTTTTTTAGCTGCTTGGCCTTTGAAACCTGGTACCATATGCCAGCCCCAAAGAGCCCTGATCAATACCGGGGGACCGCGTCTCTGTGACCTTGCAACCTGCCCCATAAAGGGCAGAGGGCAGAGCAGAGTGTTGGCCGTGTTCTCATTACGAGATTTCAGCTGCGTTTGTTGGAGGGGGAGGGAGAGCCTTCCTTGCTTTCTTTTTCTGCTTTCTTTTCATGAAACTTAGACACCAGAGCTCCTGGCTGCCTACTGACTCCTCAACTTCATTTAAGGGAAGTGAGCAAGGGAACCGATGAAAATCAAGATGCCTGAGGATTTAGGATAGGAAGATCAGCAGCATGTCTTGTGGAGGAAATGGACTGTTTGTGTCAATCCTTTTCAGGATGCTTTGGGGTGCAATGTCTTGGTCACCCTTTAAACAGGGGGATCTGGTTAAAAATTGCTTTGTCTGCACAGAAGAGCCCTGGAGATATTGTAGAAGAGGCACCTGATTTCTCTCCTCTTGCATGGCCTCTGTCCAAAGGAGGAGTCTGCAGGAACATGCTGGGGGTGCCCTATTCCCAGACCCTACACTTCAGTCATGGGGCAGTGCTAGGGGTGTCCTCAGCCCATTCCAATGAGTGTGAACCATTCCTTCTTAAAGCCACCTCTTTTTTAAGGCATAGATCTGTTTCTTGGTCATATCTTTTTGGCTCTGCACAAAAAAGTACATGTGCTTGTGTTCTGCCCTTGCTCCTTTCCTTTTTAGAACGAGGATGGAAATAAAAAGGGAAAAAGCTTGCAGTGTCTCCATGAGACAGCAGAGCTTTGATGGGACAGCTTCCTAAGGAAGATATAACCCAGCTTCATTTCCTCAGAGAGGAAAACCCAAACCCAGGAGCAGCCATCTACCAAGTGATACAGGATGGGGAGACATAAATGCTCCTTTGGCACAGGGCATCTTGTATCTGCCTCTGTGGATACAATTCCCGTAGTGATGGGAACCACAGGGTGGTTTGGTTGGAATGTGATTGGCTGCTAGTTTAATTCCTGGGGTCAGAACAACTGCCCCATACTGCTCTTCCCTCCTCCTCTCCTTTGCTTCCACCTCTGCAAAGGGATGGACACACCAAGTTCTGTGGGACAAATGCTGTGTCCCATGCAACAGGTCTCCAGATGACCCTCTCAGACCACCAGTTTAAGGTCAGGGGTTTCTATAAGCCTCTAATTAGACTTCAGGGGGCATTTGTGAGCTGAGTTGAGAACTCCCTCTCTCACCCTAATTATCCAAAGGATGAAAACATCCGAGCTCTCCCCAGGATATATTCAGGGATATTCCCTGAGGCTGGAGAGCAGAGAATTCCCCATTTTTGCATTGCACTGCAATCCAAAAGTTCACCCAAGGACAAGAACAATGGGGCACTTCATCCTTTAGATTGAGTGCACCATACCCATGGGTGGCAAGGGGAGCCAATACCCCAGACAGAGGGCACTGCTGCACACCATCCAATTAACCCTTCTGACAGCTTCGATTAAAAATAAAGGGGCCTCCAGGTCCCTGCTGGAGTGGCCTATTTTATGTGTGCATCTCCTTGGTTTTGCCTCAGTGTATGGTGTTCAGGAAGCAGTTATTTCAGGAAAGGCATGCTATAGATAACTGATCTGCCAGCCAGGTGTCATGTTCCTTCATTTATTTTCAATTACTTTGTCTCATTAGCTCCGGTGAGAATTGCCTGGTGTCAATTCATTTGGTCACCTCTGTGCGTGCTGCACCTCTCCAGAGCCACATCTCTGGTGTGGTGTGATCTCTCCCTGGGGGGCACTGTTACAAAACAGCTCTGCTTCTCTTTCAGCTTCATCTTGTTCTCATCTTCTGGGCTACCCCCTGCTTTAAGCCCCTTTTCAGGGTCTCGCAGAGTTCCTGGAGTAAAGCAGGTGAGAAGTGTAATCTTTAGGGTAGGAGCCATCCCTGTGCACACTGCAGCAATAGGGACTAGCGTTCACAAGCTGCAAAGCCTTCCAGCAAACCTCGTTCCCAAATCCAGCTCCCTGATACGAGGCTGTGGTGAGTGGGGGTTGGACCCTTCTCCCCAGTAGCAGTGACAGGATGATAAGTACTGGCCTTAAGTTGCACCAGGGGAGGTTCAGGTTGGAAATTAGGGAAAATTTTTCTTCTCCAAAATACTGGTGAGGCATTAGCATAGGTTGCCCAGTAAGGTGGTGGATTCAACCACCCCTGGAAGTGTTCAAGAGAAGGGTTGATGTGGCACTGAGGACATGGTTTTGTGGGCAGTATAGGTGGCAGATGGACACTTGGATTTTACAGGTCTTTCCTAACCTTAACAATGCTTCTCAGTACTGTCAGGATGGAGGTGAGATCCCAGGACCTCCTGGACTTTCATCCCCTGCACTTCTGGTCATTCCATTCCCTGCACTGTGTGTACACAACTCATATACAGTTGCCTCTAAGAGTGCACATTTGGTTGATGCACTCGTTTTCCCCCTTTATCTGGGGGAGCACGCACCAATACCCCAAAGCCATCATGGCTCTAGAGAGAGGTGATTTGTGCTGGTAGTCCCAGGGCACATGATGCTTCCTGCATGAATTCTTTTTTCAGCCATTTTGTTCTTGTTCCATGTCCATCTATTTATGCCCAGCCTCATGTAACAGAGGTAGGGACAGATGCTGGAACAGATGGTAGCATAAAGAGACAGAAGAAGACATCAATGCCATCAGATACATATGGAAGAGAGAAACTAGCCCTCCACCTCTAGCTGCAGATTTCTTCTATTTTTCAGCACAGCATAAAGTCCTTCAAAACCAAATTCCCTACTTCCCAAGGGATGTCCTGACCTGCTGTTTGCCTCTAGGATCCCTGGCTGAACCTCTCATGGTGGACCACCATGAAGTAGATTTGTGCCTGCTCACTGCACAAGGCTTTTGTGCTTTCACCTGTCCAAGTGTGAACTGAGTCATACCTGGCATGTCCCTAGGGTGATATGAGCAGCTTATCTGACTGCTCGCTGTCAGCCATGTGACCAGCTGAGCTCTGGTGGTGAGAACAGCAGGGACTAAAGAAGACATGATGTAATTTTCAGATCCGTTGGGGAGTTTTCAGCAGTGTTGGCTGGAAAAAAAAACAGCAATTTCTCTGTGAAAAAGGGCACATTCACTCTGGTTCCAATGAGAAAGAAATAAATAGAAAGCCTGGTAGTGACTGTCCTTAATTGATTAGTCATTTCTGCAGATGATAATTGCACATCAAAAGACAGGGATCCTACTGTTTCATGCAAATGTCCTCAGGAATAACAGCAAGGCACAGGGGAAGTGGGTAGAGGAAATAAATCCTTTAAGGCGCTGCCCAGGAGAATTCAGAGCTTGAGTTCCATTTTGGAAAAATAATGTTGCTCTGATCATGTCTGGAAGAAATATCCTCAACCTCCTGAGTGCCAGAAACATGGAGAAAAAGGAGGACAGGAGCCCCAGCCGTGCCAAAGTACCATCTTTTCAGACACCAATGGAGAACTTGAAGAGCTGGCTGATGAGCTAGAATTGTAGTTATTCACTGTGGGTTCTGCAGTGAACCCCAACTTTGGGTCCTTCCCACATACTGCAGCCTCCTGGGCTCTCTGACTTGTGCCTGGTGTGTCCGGTCCCATTCTGCTCCCCATGCTGCCACATCTGGGCCACAAGCTAAACGCCAACCCTGGGGCTCATTTGAGAATCTCCGTTCTCATTTAATTACTTCAGTGAAGCTGCTAGCCCTGGTGTCTGGCAAAAGAGGCTTGTGAGCATGACTCAGTCAGCCTCCAAAAGCAGGAGTGAAAAAACAAGAATCTGCTGTGAGCTGCATCTTGATTTTTTTAAGCCAACCTCGTGATGCTTTGCAGGGCCAAAGCACGAGTCTGTAATATCAGAACAGTGCTATAAACTGCAGGCGTTTTGGGGTGCTTGTAAGAAAAATGGGCATTTTTCACAAGCACGCAGCCACCACTGGGGTCATGGCGATCCTTTTGTAGAGAGTGAGCCCCTCTGCATCACAGCTGCACTGTGGGAGAAGCTTTTGCAGGTGTCATTTCTTGTGTGGGCAGTTTCCAATGTTCCCAGCTGCCCTCCTTACTGCCCCTGGTAAATCCCAAAACTGATTCCTCCAGGCCCCATATCCCAAACATCACTGAGTAGTAGTATGCAAAGCAGAGCTGGGGACACCACCAGACTGTGATCTTGCATCTGCTTAGACCCACCGGCACTGGATTCTTCAAAGCAGTGGTCAAGGATTTTCAGGGCAATGAGCTGCCCTCAGCCCTACCTAAAGGATGACTGTGGAAGACCTAGGAGGCACTGGTGGTCGTGGAAAAGCCATTTAGCGAATTCCTCCAGCCTAAATTCCCACTCTGTGGTCCTTGCAGCCTCTGGCAGAAATGAGATCTGACCTTCCACCTCCTCCTATGCAGCTCTGCATGCCTGGATTCCTACATACTCATCACCTTCAGCGCGGGTTAACGAATGGCTGGCATTTAAATATTTCTTCATCACTCCATCCACATCATCGATGAAGTCACAGACAGCGTTTTGGATCTGCAGGTTTGCCTTCAGATCCTTTACCTTCAGCCGTCTTCAGCACAGAGTTGCTGCAAGCTCCTTCGCCTTTGTAGTCAGCAAAGAGAAATAGGCGCTTTCAGGGCATGAGTCATCTGACCTATTTAGCCATCTTAGGAAGAGATGAATGAGTCCTTAAGAGGGCCCATTTCTTACTGCTGTCTAGACAGCCAAGCTCTCAGCTGCAGACGCCTACCCTTGCTCTTCGGGCTGGGAAGGACTGCTGCCTAATGGCGGGCTCCCGGCTCCAGCAAAGCATTGGCTCACACCTGAGTATGGAGGAGAGTTTTGAGCTCAGCCTGGCTTTGTTCCCTCTGAAGGGAGGATTTCAACACCAAAAAGGTGGAAACCCACTTTTGCTGTACCTCCAAGGGAGGGTTTCGTGAAACTGGGCTTCCTCTGCTGTGACAATGTGGCACAGGGTCTGAATGTCAGTGAGTGGTGGTAGCCAAGAAAAGGTGTTTTATTATTCTCAGCTAAACCAGCAAAAGTGGCTCAGTCATCCTGGTGGCACAGCTACATGGCTGTGACTCAGTGCCAACACCAGCTGGTCTGGGATAAACTTGAGCCTGTGGAGCGCTTGGTCTTCACGAGGCAAAGATCATTCAGTTCAAAGAGTCAACCTGTTCTAAGAAGAAAGCCCAACCACCAGGACAGTTTGTGATTCCTGGGGCTATTATGAATTTCTCTGTACAAGAGAACAAAAGTGTCCAAGTGAGTGGTGACCATCTCTTTCAGGTTGCCCGTGGGCCACTTACCTGTGGCTCTCTGTGAATCTGCATTTCTTTGCCTTGCCTTGCCTTTCCTTGCCTTGCCTTTGTTCATAAAGATCTGTAGATACCCACAAGGTTGGTGGCACGGACTGAGAGGGACAGAGTGGGCATGGAAAGGTGGTATTACACAAACTAAAAAGGCTCTAAC